AATTGAGGTCACTTAGGTGGCTGTCTCCCAAGCTTGTAGTTCAAACAAAGCTCATAACACACCAAGTATTCTAAATTATGGCTATTTCATGCCGATACTGCTTCTGGTGTATTATAGAGCCATAAGAGAGGGTACCGTCGCCACGTGTAAGCAAAAACCTACCTTGTCAAAAAGACATGAAGTTAAAGCATTCCCTCCTAGATGAAGCTACTTAGCCGACACAGACATCACCATTACTAAGTAGAGCTAGGATGAACTACGTGACCCAAGGTGTGGTCGCCAATCTTTCTCTCCATAAAGAGACACCTAGTGTTTATCTTTGAAAATATGTACTAATGGGTTGTATCAAATAAGGGAAGTGATTTTTTCTTTTCAACCTCTCAGGCTTCTTTTGCCTCTGGCTTCATCACATTCTGTCTATGGCTATCTTATTAATAAGATGGTTTTATTTTCTTCTCTGCTGTGAAGATTTCATATTTTGGGAATATTTTTGTATTATAAATTTGTGGCTTCAACATATGAAAAAGTGGCAGTATATATTTCCGCCACACAGTGTTCACGCCTGTCTCAGCACTTTGGGAGGCTGCAGGCATGCGGATCACTCTAAAGTCACGGTTCAAGACCAGCCTGTCCAACATGGTGGAAGCCGTTTCTACCTAAAATACAAAAATTAGCTGGGCATGGTATGTGTATGTCGCCAGCATCAGCTGGAGTAGAAGAATCGCCTAAACCAGAAGGCAGAGGCTGCAGTGAGCCAGATGCCGCCACTGCACTCCAGCCAACACAAAAAAATAGCCTGCTGGCGCGGTGGCTCAAGCTGTAATCCCAGCACTTGTGAGTGTCGAGGGAGACGGCGAACGGGTTGAGTGTCAGTGAGAGACTCAGATTGCCAGCACACGTGGGAAACCCCGCTCCCCTACTAAAAAAACAGCAAAACCAGCCGGGCGGCAGGCGGCGCCTGCGTCCCAGCGCTACCCTGAGGCTGAGGCAGCAGAATGGCGTGAACCTGAGGCGGAGCTGCAAGAGAAACAGAGATCCCGCCACTACTCCAGCCTGGGCATATGAGCAGACTCCGTCTCAAAAAAAAAAAAAAAAAAAAAGAGAAAATAGTCCAAAAAAAGAAAAAGATTGAAAGAAAAACAATAAAAAGGAGAAAGTAATAGATCTTTGGCAAACATGCTGGGACAACGAACTGATATCCACATGCAAAGGGAATGATTCCTATTTCTATCAAAAAGAACTTTTTTTTTTTTGAGACTAGGAGTCTTCCTCTGTCGCCCAGGCTGGGGGCAGGTGGCTCCACTCCCGGCCCACTGAAAGCCCGCCTCCCATGTCTGGGCTACTTCTCCCACTTCAGCCTTCTTCCAGCAGGTGGGACCACAGGCGCTGCCAATGCTACCAGGCTAATTTTTGTATTTTAGTGGAGATGGGCTTCACGGTGTCAGCCAAGACGGTCTCGATCTCCTGACTCGATCCGGCCACTCAGCCTCAGTCTCCTCCTGCAAAGCAAGTGGGGATTAGGCGTGAGCACACCGTAAGGTTCAGCCTAATCAAAATTTTATAATTATTTAAAAAATTAAAAGAAAAAGAGATCAGATGGAATGTTACTTGTCGCCCAGGCTATGTCCATGACCATAGGCTCACTGATCTTACTCACTGCTTCCTGAGTAGCTGGGACCCCAGGCCCCACTCCTCTGCGCCCGCATCCCCAAGCCAAGCAGCAGTGGCAGTGACCTCACTCTCCCGGGCCTGGAGCACCCTCCCGCATCCCAGGCGGTGGCCCTAGGAAGTTCCCCAGCTGAGCATGTGGGCAGGGACCTCCTCCCATGAGTGACTGAGACTCAGTGGAGGCGAGAGGATTTCTCTTCTTAACCCGTGACCGCCAGCGCTGAAATCCTACGCCCGCCTCAGGCAGGCCTTGCATTTACATTCCCAGTCATAGTAATCCTCCTTCCAGACTATTCCAGGGGCTTTTGAATCATCCTTCTGCCTCCTTGGGCTACCGCCGCCAAAAGCCTGAGAACAAGGCTGGAAGACTCCAGGACACATGGTGTCCCGGCCTGGCCCGCCTCTGCCAGTAAACTAGCGTGGGGTGGGGAGTGGGCCCCTCTGGGCTATGCCCCGCCCCACCACAGGCCTCGCCTCTGCCTCACCCAGGCCTCGCGCCACACCACCAGGTGCCCCGGCTCACCTCCTCGTAGGCTCCACCCAGGCTCACTGTTTTAAGCTTGCAGTGCCGCATTCGCACCAGGTAGCTGATCCCGGGCATGTCACACCGTGGAGGTGAGCTCTTGCTGTGTGTTACATTAACTGGAGCTCTGGTGTCCCCTGCACACCCTGAAAGCATGGATGTGGGGTCCCCACAGACCTGAAGTTCTGGTCTTCTTCACCTGAGCAAATGGAGATGTTCTGGAGTCCGCGGAAGTCCTTCTTTGTGTTTAAAGTCGCAGCCTAGAGGCTTGGGTCCTCTTGCCCCCTCAAGCCTTTTCTGCACAGGGGCAATGTATACACTTCCTATCGCAGCTGTCCTGCCTAAACTGTTTTAATTCTTCCCGCACTGCGCTTTGAGGAGTTCCCGCCTGTCGCCTGCAGGCTGGGAATGCAGTGCACACTTACTCACTGCAAGCTCCGCCTCCCGGGCTCCCGCCATTCTCCTGCCTCAGCCTCCCGAGTGCTGGGACTACAGTGTGGGTGCCCACCTACCACGCCCGGCTAACTTTGTGTTTCTAGTAGAGACGGTTTCACCCCGGTGGTGGTGAAGCAGATGGTCCCGATCTCCCTGACCTCGTGATCTCGCCCCGCCCCGGCCCTTCCAAAGGATTATAGGCGTGAGCCACGCGCCTGTGCTCCCCGGCATCATGAAGTCTCACTCGAGAGTGTGGTGGCCCTCCCTGCGCGCCTCGCTCACTCGCCGGCTGCTGGAGCAGTACCGTGACCTCAGTCCCGGGAGTGGCCGCGTGTCTCTGCCTGGTCCTGGATCCTGCAGGATTTCCTTGTCTGAAGGCATCGTTGCCTCTACCTCTCCTCTCATGCTGGGCTCGCTGCTCCCTCAGGTCTTCTCCGCAGTCACCGCCTCCCCTTGAGCCTGGGCCAGAGGTGCCCGTGCCTGTCCTGTGATTCGGGTGCTCTTGCTCGCCCAGATCCAGCTCTTGAAAATGCGCTCCCAGATGCTGCCTTCCTCCAAACCTCAGTGGATTACTGTGTGGGCCAACGGGATCAGAGACAGACAGAGGGACACATGAGAGAGCAGAAACTAGAGACAGAGAAAAGAAGAATGAGGAAGACCTGTAGTAGATGGGGTATAGAGGATAGGTAGGAGGGATTTGTTAAGAGACAGCAAAAGGAAAAGACAAGAAGCAGAGGAGAAAGCAACTGCAGAAACAGAGAAAAGCTAGATGTACAGAGAAATGAAGGACCTATTGTTAAAGGTATGGAGGGGGCATAGAGAAATGTGGGGAGGTCACTGGGGAGTGAGGAAGAGAGGAGGGATTTGAGCCAGACAAACAGAGCAGAAAGTGGTGCTGGTGGCAAAGGGAGAACAGAGGAGAAACCACAGCAGGGAGGATACCTGGGGACTGGGGCTGCCAGATTAGGTCCAGGGAGGTTATAACAGGGAAGAGAGAATTTACAGGAGCAGAGAGGCAGATGGGGAGAAGAGGCAAACCCATGAGATTGAGGACCATCTAAAGATCTTATAATGAGCAACAAGAGGGTTAAATAAGTTGCAAGGATGAGCCTGGTGATTTTTGTATTTTTAGTAGAGACGGTTTTACCATGCTGGCCAGGCTGGTCTCGAAACTCCTGACCCTCAGGTGATCCACCCACCACCTCCCAAAGTGCTGAATTGGTTGGTGAGCCACCGCAGCTGTCCACCCATGCATTTCTGATTGAAAATTTGCTTATGCCCAGTCTCTCTGGTGAAAGTCAGACCGCCTTCCTGTTTTCAAGGTCAACACAGTGTTTACAATTTGTACTTATAAAATGTTACTGAGATTTCCTTGTAATAGAAGAATCTCAATGCTGGGGAATGTTTTTCATATCAGAACCTTCCAAAGAATTTTCTTTTTAACCCAGGTATGATAGACATTTAATTTTAAGGATGGGATGATAGAGACTAACCCCATCCCATTCACTCCTTCCAGGCTCCATATAGAATTCAGGCACACCTTCTCACTCATCTCAGACCTCTCAGGTACACACAGAAAATGCTCTCTCTCTGAGCCCCCAGAGCCCCCTGCAGCTTGTTGATGAGATGTCGGCTAGACCAGAAAAGCCTAACCTGGAGTGATCCTGACCCCTGAAATGATTGTGGCAAACAGAGGCAGTGTGTGGCATGGCTATCATGGGAGAGGGGAGGCCAGTTGTGAATTAGAATTTTCCATGGATGCAAACCCAAAAACAGAAAAAAAAAAAAAAAAAAAGGCAAAGAACAGAAGAAATGAGGGTGGTAGACTCAGAAACAGAGACCATCTCAGAGGCCTTTGTTCGTATGAGGATATCACAGCTGCCATCTAAAGCATGGCTCTGCCGGGTCCCTGGGCAGGGAACCTCCACTCAGCCTCCCGTGTTCCCCGGGACAAGAGTCCAGCTCTTCACTTTGCTCCACAGCCCTGGTGACCAGGGCTCCTGCCAGGTCCAGCCTCCTGGGAGCTTGCCTCCTTCTCTCCTGACCTCCTGTCACATTTTCTTTCTTTTCTCTTGCACAAAATCCTTCCTGTCTCAGGTCGTTGTTCTGGGCTTTTATTCTGGGCGTGTTTCTAAATGAAGATGGCACTGTCCCTTTCTCCTCCAGGTCTAGGCCTGGGAGATGCCTCCCATGCCTCCCACCCCCATCTAAAGTTCCCTCTGCTTGTCATATCTTTCACACAGTCAAGTTTTCTTTATCTCTGTGTCAATCCCATCAGAAATGTAATTTTTTTTTTTTTTTTTCTTCAGACTTCACTGTGTCCTCCAGGCCGTGAGTAACTGTGATCTTGGCTCACTGCAACCTCTGTCTCCTGGGTTCAAGTGATTCTTGTGCCTCAGCCTTCCAAGTAGCTGAGATTATAGGTGTGTGCCTCCACACCCTGCTAATTATTGTATTTGCATTTTATTTTATTTTTGAGTCTTCCTCTGCCGCCCAGGTAGGAGTGCTGTGGCATGATCTCAGGTCACTGCAACCTCCACCTTTCAGGTTCAAGCAGTTATCCCACCTCAGCCTCCTGAGTAGCTGGGATTACTGATGCCCACCAAGCCTGGCTACTTTTTGTATTTTTAGTAGAGACAGGGTTTCACCATGTTGGCCAGGCTGGTCTTGAACTCCTGACCTCAAGTAATCCACCCACCTTGACCTTTCAGAGTGCTAGTATTACAGGCATGAGCCACCGTGTCCACCCCAATTTTTGTATTTTTAGTAGAGACAGGGTTTCTCCATGTTGTCCAGGCTAGTCTCGAACTCCTGACCTCAAGTAATCCACCCACCTCGGGCTTTCAGAGTGCTAGTATTACAGGCACAGGCCACCGCGTCCAGCCCAATTTTTGTATTTTTAGTAGAGACAGGGTTTCTGCATGTTGGCCAGGCTGGTCTCAAACTTCTGAGCTCAAATGATCTTTCCACCTCAGCTTCCTAAGTAGCTGAGACCACAGACACACAGACGTGCACCACCCTACCTGGCTAAGTTTTTGTATTTTTGGTAGAGATCTCCTGAACGGGAGCTCATTCCAGCCCAGCTCCCCACTGCTGCAGAGTGTGTGTGTGTGTGTGTGTGTGTGTGTGTGTGTGTGTGTGTGTTTCTCCAGGAGGGGAGCGGTAGTTTTCCTGTAGGAATTTTTTGTTCCTGGTGCAGTGGGCAGCAGAGGGGACCATATTTCCTCAGGGTGATGTATCCTGTGTATGTGTCATTGTGTTACCGGGAGGGGATGTGTTGATTCTATGCAATAAACATCATATTTTTAACATTCAGGATTGACTTCTAAAGACTCTTGGTACATAAGGAAGAAACCCGGAAGAGGAAGAGGAAAGCAAAGGAGTCAGGGATGGCTCTTCCTCAGGTGAGATGATATTCTCGGTGGATTGTTCTGTCTCCTTCCTTTCAGAAATGCTGAGCCTTGGAGTTGGGAATCTTCTCTGAGTCTAAAGCATCCTGCCTGACAGGTTTGCTCACCCTCACCCATGCCTTCCCTCAGTCCCTCTCATCTCGCTTAGATTCCGTCTCTTGTGACCCAGTGACATGGACTTGGGAAGAGGCTGCACTGGGCATGGGCCTGGGAAGGGCTCACACCAGACATGGATGGAGACGGGGTGAGGGTCCCGTGGTGTCAGGGCTGTTGGACAGCAGGGATTGTTTAGGGGTCACATGTGGATGCATGTTTAGCTCTCTGTGGACCAGGATTAGAGCAGCTGCCAATGGAAGTCACTTTAATGTGCCCAAGGTACATGGTAAATTCTAGAAAAGGAGACCAATAAGGGAAAATCTTTTCTCCCTGATTTTATACTATATTTTTAGGTAATTGAGTGAGTTACTGTGTTTCCGATTCCAAAAATCTTACTAATTAGAATGGAAAGTTCATACATAGGCATGAATAATGAATGATTCCTTTATTATTATTATTATTATTATTATTATTATTATTATTTGAGGCAGTATTTTGCTCCTGTTGCCCAGGCTGGAATGCAATGGCATGATCTCAGCTCACCGCAACCTCCGCCTTCTGGGTTCAGGCGATTCTCCTGCCTCAGCCTCCTGAGTAGCTGGGATTACAGGCATGTGTCACCACGCCTGGCTAATTTTGTATTTTTAGTAGAGACAGGGTTTCTCCTTGTTGGTCAGGCTGGTCTCAAACTCCCGACCTCAGGTGATCTGCCCACCTTGGCCTCCCAAAATGCTGAGATTACAAGTGTGAGCCACTGTACCTGGTCTATTCCTTCATTATTTTACGAAAATGAAATCAATGTAAATAATAGCAGGAGGTTCATTAAACCATTCTTAGCACATTACGTTCATGAAGACAGTGGTGCTACTGTGGGGAGGCTTGTGAAACAAGTGTTTTTGGTAAAAATGGTTGCAATTTTTCTCAAATATGGAAGCAGTACTATTTTATCCAAGAGGATAAAGCTGTATTCTCATTCCACCTATTGTTGTTATTATTGTTTTTCTGAAATGGAGTCTTGCTTTGTTGCCGAGGCTGGAGTGCAGTGGCATGATCTCAACTTACTGCAACCTCTGCCTCCCAGGTTGAAGCAATTTTCCTGTGTCAGCCCACCTGGTAGCTGGGATTATAGGTGCGTGCCACCACGCCCGGCTAATTTTTTTGTATTTTTGGTAGAAACGGGTTTTCACCACGTTGGCCAGGCTGGCCTCGATCTCTTAACCTCAGGTGATCTGTCCGCCTCAACCCCCTAAAGTGCTGGGATTACAGGCACAAGTCACCATGTCCATCCCCACCAGTTATTATTAAATATAAATGGTTATATTTAAACATCACATGACGTATACATTTGTTTTGTGGTAAAACTCCAAGCAAAGCTGCAGCTTAGACCTTTGGCTCAAGGCATCTCCTTTCCCTGTCACATACTCCACCCTCCTTCCAACCTTGCTGGGAATTGCTACTGTCAGTTCTGTGCCAAGTGTCAGAGCAAGTCTTGTACGTGTATTTCTGCATCTTTATGAGACTTTAAAAATTCTGTTGTAAGTTAAAGAAAATTTTTCATATATTTTTTTTACTTTACATTTGGGGCTACATGTGAGGGTTTGTTATTGAGGTCACCTTGCATCATAGGAGTTTGTTGTGCCAATTATTTCATCACACCAGTATCAAGGCTGGTACCCAATAATTTTTTTTTTAATTTATTTTTTTGAGATTGAGTTTTGCTCTTGTTGCCCAGGCTGGAGTATAATGGCATGATCTTGGCTCACTGCAACCTCCACCTCCTGGGTTCAAGTGTGTCTCCTGCCTTAGCTTCTTGAGTAGCTGGGATTACAGGTGCCAGCCACCATGCCTGGCTAATTTTTGTATTTTTAGTAGAGACAGAGTTTCACCATGTTGGCCAGGCTGGTGTTGAATTCCTGTCCTCAGGTGATCCACCTGCCTCGGCTTCCAAAAGTGCTGAGATTATAGGTGTGAGCCACTGTGCCCGGGCCCAGTAGTTATTTTCTCTGCTCCTCTTCTTGCTCCCACTGCCAAAGTATCCTTTCCACCGAGACGAGATTCCTCTTCAGTTAAACAAATCTTGCTACTTTTATATTTTAAAAACCTTTATATATATAAATATATATATATACACATACATACACACATATCTATGCATAGACATACCTATATGCACACACATAAGTATTTTGAAAATCTGGAGAAAATGACAACTTTTTTTTATTAACATCTAATTTCTTGTGAGTCTTTGCACGTTTTATTATTTTTGGAGCATATATTTGCAGAGTAGGTTTTCGTACTTTGAATAACGGTGTTTTCATATATTTATTTTATTTTGAGACAAGGTCTCACTCTGTTGCCCAGGCTGGAGTGCAGTGGCATGATCTTAGCTCACTACAACCTCCACACTCAGACTCAAGCCATCCCCCAACCTCTGCCTCTCAGGTAGCTGGGACCACAGGTGTGTGCCACCATGCCGGTTTATTATTATTATTATTATTATTATTTTGAGATGGAATCTTGTTCTGCAGCCCAGGCTGGAGTGCAGTGGTGTGATGTTGGCTCACTGCAACCTCTGCCTTCTCAGTTCAAGCGATTCTCCTGCCTCAGGCTCCCGAGTAAGTGGGAATACAGGCGAGTGCCACCACGCCCAGATACTTTTTTGGTATTTTCAGTAGCGACAGGGTTTCACCTTTTTAGCCAGGATGGTTTCCATTTCCTAATCTTGCGATCTGCCCACTGCAACCTCTGCCTCCCAGGTTCAAGCGATTCTCCTGTGTATTGGTTCGTTTTGGGATCACGTTGATTTGCCTTCCTCTAAATAGGGACTCATCTAAGGCCAAGGAAGTCCTCCTTGGCTCTTTGTCTGAGAACTCTATATATACAAACCCTTTGGAATGGCCACTAAATTTGGCACAGAGTTTGGTAACACGGTTGACTGAACCACAGCCAGGACAGTGAGCTTCCAGCTCTTCTGCTGTTGCACCATAGTCCACATTACCAACACAGATGGAACGGGCATCAGCCTCCATCTTCTCCTCAATGTACATGATCACTGGGCCAGCATTGCCTGGAGGTGGACTCATATTCATCTGCTTCTCTAACTCGTTCTGTAACTGCTTTAGCTTCTCAGCTCCTTCCTCCATCTTCCTGACTCCCGCTTTGACAGCTTCTATCGCCGGGTCCTCAATGGCGCCGTCCCCGGGGTCACCCTCGACCAGTCCCGGCTCTTCCTCTTCCTCTTGGCTGCAGGGGTTCCCGAACCAGGCCCAGGGCCCGGAGCCCCCGGGCGAGGGGCGTGGGGCGTGGGGCCGGGACGGCTTCTCTTCAGACTGGGGCTCCAGCTCCGGCTCCAGCAGCAGTTCCTCAGGCTCCATTTCCTCACACTCCAGGCCATTCCTTTCGTCCCCTGCGCCCCCGGTACACCATGCCCGGCGTCTCCATGGGCCCCAGGCACAAGATGGCGCCGCCGCCCCTGCCGTAGCCCCAGTGGCCTGCAGCTCCTGCTGCTGTTGCCGCCGCTCAGACTGGGCTCCTTTTTATTTATTTATTTATTTATTTATTTATTTATTTTTTTGAGAAAGAGCCTCACTCTGTCACCCAGGCTGCAGTGAAGTGGCATGATCTCAGCTCACCGCAACCTCCGCCTCCCGGGTTAAAGCATTTTGCTGCCTCAGCCTCTCAAGTAGCTGAGATTACAAGCAGCCAACACCACGTCTGGCTTTTTTTTTGTATTTTTAGTAGAGAAGGGGTTTCATTATCTTGGCCAGGCTGGTCTTGAACTCCTGACCTGGTTATTCACCTGCTTGACCTCTTATAGTGCTGGGATTACAGGCGTGAGCCATCGCGCCCGGCCCATAATAGCCATTTTTTCTGCTCCTCTCCTTCCTCCCACCCTCCACCCTCAAGCAGACCCCAGTGTCTGTTGTTTTCTTCTTTGTGTTCCAGGAAATATTTTAGTTTCATATTTGATTCTGCTGGTTGTGAATTTACATGTTGTCATGTTAGTAAACATGGCTAGCTTGCTCTTTGACATCTGCAGTGGAAACTGGTTCCTTTGCGATTTTTCCCTGTATAAAGAGTGCCATAGTGGCTGCCTCTGCGCACGCCTGCATTCCTGCAGATATCTGAACGTTCCTCCAGGTCAGGCAGGTGAAAGGTGATTGCCTCCTCTAGGATGGGGCATTTCCTGTTTTCTTAGATCCGACAAGATTCCCCCCTGCCCCCGACTGCCAGTGTCCTTTTCCAGCAAGATGAGATCCCTCTTCAGTTAAACAAAATTTGCTACTTTTTATATTTTTAAAAACTTTATATATGTGTATACACATCCCCACACACGTGCACACACATATACAGACAAATATATATATACACACATATATATTTTGAAAATCTGGGACAAATGACAACCCTTGGTATTAACATCTAGGTTTTTGTGTCTCTCTGTAGGTTTTATTATTTTGTGAACCTATATATAGACAATTATTTTTGTACTTTGAGTAATTTTGTTTTCATGTACTTTATTTTATTTTGAGACGGGGTGTCGCTTTGTTGCCCAGGTGTGAGTTCCCTGGCAGGATCGTAGCTCATTGCAGCCTCCACCCTCAGGGTCAAGCCATCCTTCCTCCTTAGCCTTCCAAGTAGCTGAGACCACAGGTGCCTCAAACCATGCCCAGCTAACATTTTTTATTTTTTTTATTTTTTTGAGATGGAGTTTCTGTTGCCCGGGCTGGAGTGCAGTGATGCGATCTGGGATCACTGCAACCTCTGCCTCCCCGGATCAAGCGATTCTCCTGCCTCAGCCTCCTGCGTAGCTGGGATTACAGGCATGTGTCACTGTGCCCAGCCTATCTTTTACTGTGGACATTGTCATCTTTTAAGACATCAGTCGTGCTCTCTCTCATCTAGATAATGAATGTCACTTGGTGTGTCCATAAAAGTTCCAAACATTTTTATAACAGGAACCCAACATTGATTTTTCATTTGTTTATTTCTTGTATTTCTCACAAACATAAGAATTTCATACTGAACGTGTGCCTTGACTTCTTCCAAAACTATAATAAAGACATCATGCGGTGAAAAATCCCTTCCTCGGATTTGTCAGAACATTCACTACAACTAAATCCATGCATTCCCCTCTCTCTCTTTTCGTCTTCTCATTTTCGGTACAGATGAGAACTCCTCCCATAACCATTTGCTTAAAATGTGTTTTCATTCCAGGGTCTCTTGACATTCAGGGATGTGGCCATAGAATTCTCTCAGGAGGAGTGGAAATGCCTGGACCCTGCTCAGAGGACTTTATACAGAGACGTGATGTTGGAGAATTATAGGAACCTGGTCTCCCTGGGTGAGGATAACTTCCCTCCTGGGGATGTGCCCTTGTGTATCTTTGCATTTTCTCTTGTTGCTTCTTGGAAGCCACGTACTTACTTGACTAAAATGGAAGTCTTATTGATTTTGACATGAAAAGCTTCATGATGCCAAAAACACACCACTGCACTCCAGCCCAGGTGACAGAGCAAGACTCTGTCTCAAAAAACAAAAACAAATCGTATGGCAGACTTTAAACATATCCCGTTTCCTGTTTGCTTTTTTTGTGCTTTCAATTCGGTAGTTCTTGGAAGACAGCTTGATGTCCACATATTACATATTGCAATGCTCCCTCAGCATTCAGAATGAAGCAGTCAGTAGAGGAATTTGTGAAATATTTTCCTAGATCCATCTGTAATGTCTTCTTTCCTACTGAAACATAGGGCTGGGACTCTAGAAAAGCTCCAGCACGTCATGGTCCTTTCTTTTGATAAGCAGGAGTCTCTTTCTGACCTGCTGTCTCCATGTTGGAGCAAGGGAAAGAGCCCTGGACCGTGGAGAGTGAAGTGAAAATAGCAACAAAATCCAGCTGGGTGGGAATGTATTACAGGTGTAAAGGCAGGTAACAGCTCAGATGGGCAGAGTGGAAGCTCCACCTTCCAGTAATGTGTGGGGAAACTCTCTGCAAGTGGGAGAATTCTGTGGGAAAAGGAAAGTTTCAATCCTCGTATCTTTGAAAGGGCATCTTTCTTTGCACCTGCTTATCTGTCTACTCTGTCTTTCTTTCTATTGTTTCTTTCTTTGTTTATCACACAGTCTCACTCTGTGGCCCAGGCTACAGTGCAGTGGTACGATTTTGGCTAACTGCAGCCTCTGGCTCCTGGACTCAAAGCATTCTTGTGCCCCAGATTCCTGAGTAGCTGGAACTGCAGGCTCTCACCACCATTCCCAGCTAAATTTTGTGTTTTTAGTAGAGACGGTGTTTTACCATGTTGGGTAGGCTGGTTTCAAACTTGTGATCTCAAGTGATCCACCTGCCTCAGAATCCCAAAGCACTGGGATTACAGGTGCGAGCTGCCATGCCTGACCATTGTTATTATTTTAAATAGTTTTGTCTTTTAGTTCTTTAGATATTTGGTCAGAGGTTATTGTTGCGGGTATGTTAAACATCTTAAAGTTATAGCATAACAAAAAAAGTTAAAATTTCCATAACCTGGATGTGTGCAGTGGCTCACACCTGTAATCCCAGCACTTTGGGAGGCCATGGTGGGCAGATCACCTGAGGTGAGGAGTTCAAAACCAGCCTGGCTAACATGTTGAAACTTGGTCTCTACTAAAATTGCAAAAATTAGCCAGGCGTGGTGGTGGGTGACTGTAATCCCAGCTACTCAGGAGGCTGAGGAAGGACAGCCTGTTGAATCTGGAAGGTAGCAGTTGCAGTGAGCCGAGATTGCACCATTGCACTCTAGCATGGGAGACAGAGCGAAACTCCATTTCAAAAAGAGAAAAAAAAAAATTCCATAACCTGCAAAAACTACTTCTCCACTGGAACTTGTTTTTTTTATTTATGTCAGAATTATTTCTGTATGTTGCATTTTCGTTAACATATGTACAGCGCTTTTTTGCCTTTTATTTTAAATAATGTGAAAAAAAGTTTAGTTATGAAGAAGAGGTATACATATGCCAGTTTCTGTATCTGTCTTTTTATTAATTACTTTATGTATTTATGAGACAGAGTTTTGCTCTTGTCACCCAGGGTAAAATACAATGCTGCAATCTCAGCTCACTGGAACCTCTGCCTCTCAGGTACAACCAATTCTCCTGCCTCAGCCTCCTGAGTAGCTGGGATTACAGGCGTGCGCCACCACGTCCATGTACTTTTGTATTTTTAGTAGAGACAAGGTTTGTTTTTGTTGCCCAGGCTGGTCTCAAACTCCCCACCTCAGGTGATCTGTCTGGTTCGTCCTCGCAGAGTGCTGGGATTACAGGCATGAACCACCACACCTGGACTATCTGTCTTTTTTTTCACATTTACTGGAGAACTTTATTTATTTATTTATATTATTATTATTATTATTGAGACAGAGTCTCACTCTGTCGCCCAGGCTGGAGTACAGTGGTGTGATCTCAGCTCACTGCAACCTCTGCCTTCTGGGTTCAAGCAATTTTCCTTCCTCAGCCTCTTGAGTAGCTGTGACTACAGGCGTGCGTCACTACACCTAGCTAATTTTTGTATTTTTAGTAGAGACGGGGTTTCACCGTGTTGGCTGGTCAGGATAGTCTCGATCTCCTGACCTTGTGATCTGCCCCCCTCAGCCTCCCAAAATGCTGGGATTACTGGTGTGAACCACCACACCCAGCCTGGAGAACTTTATATAGACTTGTGGGTTGGCGTTACTCTTGTTTTTTTGTTTGTTTTGAGACGGAGTCTCACTCATTTCCCAGGCTGGAGTGTAATGGTGCGTTCTCGGCTCACTGCAAGCTCCACCTCCTGGGTTCACACCTGCCTCAGCCTCCCGAGTAGCTGGAACTACAAGTGCCTGCCACCACATCCGGCTAATTTTTTGTATTTTTGTAGAGACAGGATTTCACCGTGTAAGCCAGGATGGTCTCGATCTCCTGACCTTGTGATCTGCCCACCTCGGCCTCCCAACATGCTGGGATTACAGGCGTGAGCCACCGCACCTGACCTGGAGTTACTCTTTAGCCTTCTTTCATTTCTTTTTTTTGTTTGTTTCTTTGAGACAGAGTTTCGGTCTGTAACCCAGGCTAAAGTGCAGTGGTGTCATCTTGGCTCACTGCAACCTCCACTTCCCAGGTTCAAGCAATTCTCCTGCCTCAGCTTTCCAAGTAGCTGGGACTACAGGTGAGTACCAACACGCCAGGCTAGTTTTTTGTGTTTTTTTTAGTAGAGATGGAGTTTCAGCTTGTTACTCAGGATGGTCTCAATCTCCTGACTTCGTGATCCTCCCTCCTCAGCCTCCAAAAATGCTGGGATTACTGGCGTGAGCCTCTGCACCTGACCTGTCTCAAGGTTTTTAAAACATGTTAGTGCTAGTAGATGGCTTCAAGTATTGCAAATTTTACAGTACAGACTCTTAACTTGCTTTGTTTCATTAGATTTGTCACCTTCAGTGATGTTCATGATGAGATGCTCTTTTTTCTGTCTCTGTCATTTCACTGTCCTGTTAGAAATAGCTTAGAGTGGCCAGCCGCAGTATCTCACTTTTCTAATCCCAGCACTTTTAGAGACCAAGGTAGGTAGATCGCTTGAGGTCAGGAGTTTGAGACCAGTCTGGCCAACATGTTGAAACATTGAATGTACTAAATGCCAAAAATGGGCCAGGTGCAGTGGCTCACACCTGTAATCCCAGCACTTTGGGAGGCTGCGATGGGTTGATCACTTGAGGTCGGGAGTTCGAGACAAGCCTGGCCCATATGGTGAAACCCCGTCTGTGCTAAAAATGCAAAAATTAGCTGTGTATGGTGGCGTGCACACCTGTAATCCCAGCTACTTGGGAGATTGAGGCAGGAGAATCCCTTGAACCTGGGAGGTGGAGGTTGCAGCCTAGCCAACATGGTGAAACCCCATCTCTATTAAAAATTGCAAAAATTAGCCAGGCATGGTGGCGTGTGCCTGTAATCCCAGGTGCTCAGGACCTAAGGCAAGAGACTCATATGGACCCCGGCGCGGAGGTTGCATTAAGCCAAGATCATGCCATTGCACTCCACCCTGGGTGACAGAGTGAGACTCTATCTCAAAAAAATAAAAATACATAAAATTTAAAAAAATGTCCCAGCATGCCTGTTCCACATGGATATACGTAATTTTGTAACAGTTATTCAGAAAAATACCATATTAACATTTTCTTTTTTTTGAGATGGACTCTCACTCTGTCACCCAGGGTGGAGTGCAGTGGTGTGATCTCAACTCACCATAATCATTGGCTCCCCAGTTGAAGCGATTATCCTACCTCAGCCTCCCAAGTTGCTGGAATTACAGGCGCCTGCGACCACGCTTGGCTAGTTTTTGCATTTTTAGTACAGACGGGGTTTCTCCACGTTGGCCAGGCTGGTCAAACTCCTGACCTGAGGTGATCTGCCTGCCTCCGCCTCTGGAAGTACTGGGATTACAGGCATGAGCCACCATGCCCTGCCTTTTTTCTTTTTTCTTTTTCTTTTTTTTTTTTTGTTGAGATGGAGGATCATTTTGTCACCTGGGCTGGAGTGTAGTGGTATAATATTGGCTCACTGAAACCTTTGCCTTTTGGCTTTTAATGCAATTCTTGTGACACAGCCTTCGGAATAGCTGGGAGTACAGATGCATGCCACCATACCTGGCTAATTTTTGTAATCTTTTGTTATCTTGTCAGTTCTATGATTGTTTGACAATACAGAATTTCCATTGATTTTTGTTATCCTTACAACAGCATGTTGTGGATTATTTACCAGTATGGTATATTGTGTGATTCTTTAGCATTTATTTGTATACACTAAATATGCTGTAAATATGAAGATATATATTTTTATATTTTGATGTGACAGTGATGTGTTTTTTTGCAAACTGATACACTTTAGGGTCACAGTGGAAAAACACTCCTTTCTTTAGACTCACACCTGTTTGTGCCCTGTCAGTGTCTTGTCATGATATTGGGAATAGGCTTCTGTAGAAATGATTTGAAGTACATGTAATTGCCCTTTATTTATTAAAGAATCTTACTGCTTTTGTGTTCATAAGCATTGAAGATCATGTTTGAGAAGTTTAAAATAAGTATTGTTTTTCGTGTCATTTTTACACATTTCAGTATTATTTACCATCTGTACTTAATTGGAAACCTATTGGTGTTTAAATTTTGTAGATATCTCTTCCAAAAGCATGTTGAAGACGTTGTCATCAACAGGGCAAGGCAATACAGAAGTCATCCTCACCGGGACATTGGAAAGACAAGCAAGTCATCACACTGGAGATTTTTGCTTCCAGAAAATTGAGAAAGACATTCATGGCTTCGAGTTGCAGTGGAAAGAAGATGAAACAAATGGTCATGCAGCACCCATGACAGAAATCAAAGAGTTGACTGGTAATACAGACCGACATGATCAAAGGCATGCTGGAAACAAGCCTATTAAAGATCAGCTTGGATCAAGCTTTCATTCACATCTGCCTGAACTGCACATATTTCAGCTTGAAGGGAAAATTGGTAATCAAGTTGTGAAATCTTTCAACGATGCTTCCTCAGTTTCAACATCCCAAAGAATTTCTTGTAGGCCCAAAACCCGTATTTCTAATAAGTATGGAAATAATTCCCTCCATTCTTCATTACTCACACAAAAATGGGAAGTACACATGAGAGAAAAATCTTTCCATTGTATAGAGAGTGGCAAATCCTTTAATTGTAGCTCACTTTTTAAAAAACATCAGATAATCCACTTAGAAGGGAGACAATGTAAATGTGATATATGTGGGAAGGTCTTTAATCAGAAGCGATACCTTGCATGCCATCGTAGATGTCACATTGGTGAGAAACCTTACAAGTGTAATGAGTGTGGTAAGACCTTTGGTCACAATTCATCCCTATTCATTAACAAGGCACTTCATACAGGTGATAAACCTTATAAATGTGAAGAATGTGACAAAGTTTTCAGTCGCAAATCACATCTTGAAGCACAGAAGATAATTTATACTGGAGAGAAAACATACAAATGTAAGGTTTGTGACAAAGCTTTCACGTGTAATTCATATCTTGCAAAACATACTGTAATTCACACTGGAGAGAAACCTTACAAGTGTGATGAATGTGGCAAGGTTTTTAATCGACTATCAACCCTTTCACGCCATCGTAGACTTCATACTGGAGAGAAACCTTTTGAATGTGAAGAATGTGACAAAGTTTTCAGCCACAAATCATACCTTGAAAGACATAAGAGGATTCATACTGGAGAGAAACCATACAAATGTAAAGTTTGTGACAAGGCTTTTGCATGTAATTCATACCTGGGAAAACATAGTATAATTCACACTGGAGAGAAACCTTACAAGTGTAATGAATGTGGCAAGGTTTTTAATCAACAATCAACTCTTGCACGCCATCGTAGGCTTCATACTGGAGAGAAACCATGTAAATGTGAAGACTGTGACAAATATTTCAGGTGCAAATCACACCTTGAAAGACATAGGAGGATTCATACTGGAGAGAAAAGAGCCTTCAAGTCCACTATTGAGTGTGGCAGACCAGCTAGTTCGGATATCATCTTAGCCACCATCATGAACCCATGGTGCAGAGAAATCTGAATGAGAAATTAATGAGTGTGGCAACTGCCAGCTAAGCTACTGTTCAGCCTTGTAAATCACATGAGATACGTTCATACTGGAAGGCGCACAAGCATAATGAATGTTTCAAGGTTTTAATTAAAAGCACCCCTTGCCCATCATCATAGACTTCCCATACTGGAGAGAAACCTTACAAATGGGAGGAATGACAACGTGTTCAGTCACTCTTAAATCAAACCTTGAAACACATAAGAAAGATTGTGCTCAGAGAGGAAACCATACAGATATAAGTTTGTGGCAAGGTTTTTGCATATAATTCATACACCTGGCAAAACATACACAGAATTCACACTGGAGAAAACCTTAAATTAATGAGTGTAGCAGACCTTGAGTCAAAATTCACACCTTGTAATTCACACTGGAGAGAAGCTGAAGTCTAATGAATGTGGCATGGTTTTAATCAAGCAATCACACCTTGCAAGTCATCACAGACTTCATGCTGCAGAGAAATCTTACAAACATGAACAATGTGACAAAGTTCAGTCATAAAATAACCTAAATACGTAGGATAATTCATACTGGAGAAAAAACATACAAATATAAGGTTTGTGACAAGGCTTTCAGGAGATAGTTCACACCTGACAATACTTTAAATTCACTGGAAGAGAAACTTTACAGAGTGCGCCGGGCGCAGTGGCTCAAGCCTGTAATCCCAGCACTTGGGAGGCCGGAGGCAGGCGGATCACGAGGTCAGGAGATCAGGAGACCATCCCTGGCTAACACAGTGAAACCCCATCTCTACTAAAAAAAAAAAAAAAAAAAAAAATACAAAAAACTAGCCAGGCGAGGTGGCGGGCGCCTGTGGTCCCAGCTACTCGGGAGGCTGAGGCAGGAATGGCGTAAACCCGGCAGGAGCGGAGCTTTGCAGTGAGCTGAGATCCGGCCATTGCACTCCAGCCTGGGCAACAGAGCGAGACTCCGTCTCAAAAAAAAAAAAAAAAAAAAAAAAAAAAGAAGTGCTAAACCTTTTTTCAAAGCAGCCAGCCCAGGGATGTATTTCTGAAGGTCTTAGGAGGCGCTCCTTGTAAGGCAAACTACAAGTGAGATAGTACCTCTATCTCAGTAGAAAGTTAAGTAATTCAAACATCAAATATTTCAAATTTAAAGCTACGGACATTTTAATAATTCTGAGTCTTGAGAGGAGCGTGTCATACAACCTGAGTCCAGTGGCATGCAGGCGCAACTTCTAAGAATTTTGCTGACCAGGTGCGGTGGCTCACGCCTGTAATCCCAGCACTTTGGGAGGCTGAGGTGGGCAGATCACGAGTCAGGAGATCGAGACCATCCTGGCTAACACGGTGAAACCCCATCTCTACGAAAAATGTAAAAAACTAGCCGGGCATAGTGGCGGGCGACTGTAGTCTCAGCTACTCAGGGGACTCATGAGGCAGGAGGCTAAGTGAACCCAGGAGCGGGTTTGCAGTCAGTGAGCCGAGATCGCACCACTGCACTCCAGCCTGGATGATGACAGACTCCGTCTCAAAAAAAAGAAAGAAACCAGCCTGACCAACATGGTGAAACCCTGTCTCTACTAAAAAATACAAAAGCATTAGCCAGGCATGGTGGACGTGCACCTGTATTCCCAGCTACTCGGAGGCTGAGGGGGCAGAACACTTGAACCCCGGGAGATGGAGGTTGCAGTGAGACAAGACCGCCACTGCACACCAGCCTGGGTGACAGGCAAATTCCGTACAAAAAAAAAAAAAAAAAGTGCAAGAATTTGGTTTCCTATTATCAATTAAATAAATAAAAAAGCAGTTTACCTGTAAATAATTAGGAAGACTAAGCAGCCCCAGAGATAAGACCTTTTGGCATCATTGTCCCTTGTTCTGGAGTGATAAAGTAACCTTCTTTGAAGTGTATCAATCCGTCACCAATCAAGCTGCTGCAGCCTATGCACTGGTCTTGAATGGAAAACGTGATTCTGCTAAAGCTTCTCTTTCCCTGTGTGTGAAACATAACATCTCTACTTGAACAGGATCCTACCTTAATTTGGAATTGAGGGTTTCCAGGTAAAACATCCTCAAGCTTTGTGTTCAAATAAAGTCTATAATTAATCATGTATTCTAAATTTTATTATTTCCTGCTGACATCAGTTTCTCTGGTATTGTAGGAGCCTCACAGAGAGGGCACCTGTCGCCACGTTGTAAAACTCACTTGTCAAAAGACATGGGTTAGAGATTACTCCCCCTCCCTCAGGATGAAGCTACTTGGCTGACACAGATGGTCACCTCCATTGCAAGTAGAGCCAGGATGAACTACACGTGTGACCAAGGGTGTGGTCAAGAATCACCTACTTCCCTGGGGACTGATTAGTGTTTATCTTGAAAACATGTACTTAATGGGTTGTATCAAACAGTGAAGATTTTTTCTCTTTTCAACCTCTCAGCTCTTTGCCTCTATTTCCCATCACATTCTGATCTATGGCTTACTTATTAATAAGATGGTTTTATTTCTTCTCTTTTGTTGTGAAGATGATTCTCATTTAGAGAATATTTTTAGTTTTTTCAATTGTATTTTCTCAACATATAAGCGAAGTAAAGAAGTATTTCCTGGGCCAGGCACAGGCGATTCACGCCTGTAATCCCAGCACTTTGGGAGGCCGAGGCAGGCGGATCACTCAAAGTCACGAGTTCAAGACCAGCCTGTCCAACATGGTGAAAGCAATCTCTACCCAAAATACAAAAATTAGCTGGCATGGTGGCGTGCGTCTATGTGCCAGCTGTTCAGAGGCTGAGGCAGAAGAATCGCTTCAAACCAGAAGGCAGAGGCTGCAGTGAGCCGAGATGTCACCACTGCACTCCAGCCTGGGCGACAGAAAAATAGTCTCGCCGGGCGCGGTGAAGCCAGCAGGCGAGGTGGCGGGCGCCTGTAGTCCCAGCTACTCCTGAGGCTGAGGCAGCAGAATGGCTGAACCCGGGAGGCGGGCTTGCAGTGGGCTGGATCCGCCACTGCACTCCAGTTCGGGCTACAGAGCAAGACTCCGTCTCAAAAAAAAAAAAAAGAAAAATAGTCTCAAAAAAGAAAAAAAAGACGAGAAAAGAAAAATGTAAATAAAGGAGAAAGTAATAGTCTCTTTTACAAATATGCTTGGGACAACGAACTGGATATCCACATGAAAAGGTAATGTTGGATTCTATTTCATACAAGCAAAAAAAAATTGTTTTTCTTCTTTGAGACGAGTCTTCCTCTGTCGCCCGGGCTGGGTGCAGTGGCTCCATCTCGGCCCACTGAAAGCTCCGCCTCCCAGGTTCAAGGCATTCTCTCACTTCAGCCTTCTGAGTGAGGTGGGACTACAAGCGTCGGCCACGCGCCAGGCTAATTTTTGTATTTTTAGTGGAGACGGGGTTTCACGGTGTCAGCCAAGATGGTCACCGATCTCCTGACTCGCTGATCCGCGCGCCTCAGTCTCCCAAAGTGCTGGGATTACAGGCGTGAGCCACCGTGTCCAGCCTAATCAAAATTTTATAAATTATTTAAAAATTAAAGAAAAAGAGACTGGGGGAGAGATGTTGCTTTGTGCCCAGGCTGGCCAGGACTCCCAGGCTCATGATCTTACACCACTGCTTCCTGAGTAGCTGGGACCTCAGGCTCCCACCCCGCGCCCATCCCTGCTGTGTTTAAGCAGCAGGTAGTGACCCACCTCTCACTTCTCCTGGCCTGAGCACTCCCTCCCGCATCCCAGGCGGTGGCCCTAAGGGAAGTCTCTGAGCTGAGCACTGGTGGACTCTCCTCCCGAGTGACTGGAGACTAGTAAAGGGAGAGAGGATTTCCTCTTCTGTCCTGTGGACCGTCAGCATGAAATCTCGTTCGCTCAGTAGGGCTTTGCATTTTACATTCTAGTTGCATCCTCCTTCAGACTATTCCAAGAGACTTTTGAATCATCCTTCTGCCTTCCTGCTCTCTGCCGCCGCTAAAAGCCGAGAATAAGGCTGGGAAGGACTCTGACACACGGAATTCCCACGTCTGGCCGCCCTCTGCTGGTACCAAAGGGTGAGTCTCTCCGCTTTGCGCCCCGCCCCTACCTCACGCAGGCCCGCCCTACCTCCACCCAGGCCCCCTTGCACCTCACCCAGGCCCGCTCACCTCTCGTGGCTCACCCAGGCCTGGTTTCTGGCTTCTTGTGGCGTGGGTCCGCAGACCAGGAGACGGATCCGTGGCGGCTCAAGGCGGTCACACTGCGGAGTGAGGTTTTGCTAATATGTGTGTTATATTAAGTCTGAGCTCTCCAGGTCCCTGGCACTTCTGTACATGGGATGTGGGGTCCCCACAGACCTAGGTTCTGGTCTTTCTTCTTTCCTCAGAGCAAATGGAGATGTTCTCCTGGGAGTCAGGAAGTCCCTTCCACTTAGGTTTAAAGTCGCCTGAGGCTGGTCAAAGTCTCAGTCTTTCTGCTACAGGGCAATGTATACACTTCCTATCGCATTAGTTGTCCTGCTAAATCCGTGTTTGGACTCCTTCACTGCACACCTTTTTTTTTTTTTTTTTTTTTGAGGGAGGAGTCTGGCTCACCTGTCGCCCAGGCTGGAATGCAGTGGCGCGATCTCGGCCTGCAGCTCGCCTCCGGGTTCCCGCCATTCTCCTGCCTCAGCCTCCCGGCCTGGCTGGGGACTACAGGCACCCCCACCACCACGCCAGCTAACTTTGTGTTTTCTAGTAGAGCTGCGGTTTCACCGTGTTAGCCAGGATGGTCTCGATCTCCTGACCTCGTGATCCGCCCGCCTCGGTCTTCCAAAGTGCTGGGATTATAGGCGTGAGCCACGCGCCCGGCCCCTTTCACGCTTTTTAAAGTCCTCACCCGAGAGGTGTATTCCCTCCTGCGCGCCTCCCGCCTCACCCTCGTCGGTTGCTGGAGCTGGTGTGACCCC